TAATAAAAGAAAAAAAAATAATACTAATACAAGATTCTTATCAAAATAAAAGAGAGAAAAAAAAAATAAAAATAAAAATAAAAATAAAAATACAATAATGATAATCTGAAACAAAAACCAAGGCATGCTATAATATTTTAATCATAATAATGAAGAGGTGAATAGCTCAAAAGTCCATTGTAAACATTGTCCATACACACAATTATTATTCAAGCTAAATATTTTAAATGGAATTTGTCGTTTTCATTATTATGATTTATTTAAATTCTAAATTTTCAATCTAAAAACTAATTTCAAATGAAATTATTGATCAAACGGAAGAAAATTTCTTAAGAAATGTATTACGTATTATATGAGAAGTTTTTTTTTGTTGTTGTCAAAAGACAACTCACTTTGATCGAATTGTGCAAAAATAGTTACATCATCAAAAACAACATTTTATTTATTTATTTATTTATCTTCAATTGGCCAAGCCTACATCCAATAATAAGGTATTGAAAAAAAACGTTGGAATCCATTTTAATCGATGTAAGGGGTGATTACGATGTCGATATTGATAACAACGAAATTTTCGACGAGTAGTGTTTGTTATGTTTCTTTTTTTTATACTAATCTTGTTGTCCTTTTCTTTTTTCATTTCTTTTTTACTTTAAATCAGTGCAAATATCTTCGGATAGAGCACTTAATTAAAGAGTTTTAGCATGCGCTTGCGCACTGCAGCATGTTTTCTCATTGTTTATCCTTTTCCGCCACGTGCTTGGATTTGTTACCAAGGCAACACACACATTATTTGTAAATTTTAAAATTAATTTTTTTTAAACTTTTTTATTCGACGTGAATATCCGAAATCTCAGACAAACGTCTTTTCAATACATTGAATTGAATTGAATCGACGTGCTTGGATTTGTCATATAAAGTACACACACACATGAATACAAATCATTCATTCAATGATTGTTTATCGAAACGTGCAGATCAAATAAAATCGCCTTTTCCAACCAAAACCAAATTGTGTCTCGTGATTCACAGAGTATTATTATTATTATCATATAAATAAAGCTTTTTTTCAATGATTCATTTAAAAAAATGGAATTTCAAGATTTGGTCCGAATATTGAACAATATCGATGATAATCTATCCCAGTCTTTCTCAACCAGTGTGCCGCGGCACACTTTTTCCATAGGCCATAATATTAAAAAATCGAAGGTTGAGAAAGACTGATCTATCCATTAATAATGGCATTGATCAATTGACAACAAAAAGCAGTTATGATAGATTTGAGAAATGGCGAAAATTTCCTACGTGGGAAAAATCATCATGATTCGAATCGATTCAAAAATAAATCTAATGTATCGTCAAATTGTGGCGAAACAACGGGCTGCTAAACCAGGCGTTTAATTATAGACCTGCCGGTTCCAGGGGCAAAGGCAAACCCAAGGAGAGATGACGCAACAGCGTGGAGAAGGACCTGGACAAACCAATCTCATCGTATCATCATCCGGATGACAGAGAACGATGGAAAACTATTGTAGAAGCAATTGCCCTTGCCAAGTTTCACCGCAACCATGATTGGATCGTCAAATTGTGGTGACATTCAGACCGAAATCGATCGATCATTGAAAAATATTGACAATCAAAAATTGCCGACAAAACTTGAAACCACCAAAACCAGACTGTGACGAAACGAACTTATGCTCGAATTTTCGAATAATATCTCGTTTCTTTACATATATAAATGTCAGCTTTTCTGGTAAAATTTTGGAGTATCAACACAAGGAAAAGAAAAATCTTATACGAAACCGTAATACGCCCGATAATCACATACGCATCTTGCGGCAGTGAAGAGACTCCACTTGGTTTTGGAGTGTATACCCACACTAATGACATAATATCCACACATTACTTCGAATACACAACAGACACCTGAAATACAACACACAAAACTACACACCAGATTTAACATAAACCACACAATCCACCCATTTGTAAATCTTTTCTAAAAATCCATTTTGTAATCTTTTTATAATTACTTTTAATAATGATAAATAAAGTTTGAAGTTATGCTAACATTTTGATTTTGTGATGAATATTGCTGTTAATCCAAATGGATAAAATATTTCGACCAAAATATTCAATGATAAAACAACAAATAGCCAAAATCATTCCTAATCCATGTAATAGAAATATAATTCTTAAACGTTTCAAACTAATTTTTGTTATATGATGAACATGATCAATAATAATTTCATTAAAATTATCATCATCATTATGATTAGATGATTGAATTGATGGTCGTATTCGAGGATTTTTTTTTCTAATTTGTTCAAATTCTTGTTTTTTAATTTTTTCAATAATACCCGAGTTCATTATATGGGAAATTCTAGAATGAAATACAATTTATTATAATTCTTTTATATTCAAAAATTTCAAATAAACTTACATTCGATTAAATTCATTTTGATATTTAAATGTCGTACGACATATTATTGCTCCTACAAGGGTTAAAAATTTTGTATCTTGACTTTCCATTGGTAAATAGAATTGATCTGGTCCTAAATATTGTTGATAAAATGAAAGTCTTATTCGTAATGATATGAATGCAATCGAATTGGATTTTTGAATCATTTTAATACCATCTTCATGATTTTTAACAAATTTTACATATTTACTAATTGTAAATATTGATTTATTTGGATTATCCTTACTAATTATACGAAAAATTAAATTATTTTTAATCGTATATGGTATTGTTTGATGTTTACGACATGATTCAGCCAGTTTATCAATATTATCAATTTCATTCGATTTCGTTATGGTTAATATTGAAAATAGATATGATTGATAAATATTCAATAGAACAATACTCATAAAAGCAAAACTAAATAGCCAAATTTTTGCCGAATTAATTATCTGATGATCTTTACGTATAGGATAGGATTGTTGTAATAACATATTCAGGCTTATTAAAGTTAGATTTATATGTTTAAATGGCATTAAATATTTGATAGCCAAATATAATAAACATGATAGAATTAATGTTATTAGCAGACATAACCATACGATTGATTCGAATGGTTTGAAAAATATATCAAAATCCGGTATGGTTGTTATTTTGGCCATTGCAAATGTATATTGATCAAATAGATGTGAATTAAGAAATTTTACAACATTAAAACGTTCATATGTAACGGCAAAACCACCGATACCTAAATCAAATTCCTTGAAAGTTTAAATCATATTAAAGTAGTGAAAGTTTTTTCAAAATCATCAACATACATTTCTGGCTAATCGACCAATTGCTCCTGACAATGATCCATTTGGCAATGGTGATCCATAATCTCCATGACAATCAATCAATTGATAGGTAAAATTAAAATATCTGGCCAACAAATTCAGAACAAATGGATCGATACCGTAAACATGTCGATATGCTTGTATTGATTCATCCCATCCATATATATCGGTTGTTGGTGGTGCCTGGTTATTCGATAAAAAAAAAGATAATTTTCAAACAAAAAAAAATTTGATAATATTTACATTGTTGAATCCAATTCTCAGGGTTCGATTTTGAAGATCTAACCGTGACATTTTTCAAAACATTTATAATCAAAAAAACAAAAATGATTATTTGATGATGATGAAAATAATAATGGTGGATATCGAGAAAACAAAAACATATTGTAATATTATAATATTATTATCAGTTTCATATTTCATTCATTCATAATTATATACAGGGGTGTAGAGATAATTATTCATTGAAATGTTGATCAACATTCGAAAAAGTACAAAAAATTTCCAATAAGTTTCATTCAATATTCCAAAAAGATTATGTTTTTCCGACAATAATAATAAACATATTTAAATATTTCAACAATAAATATAAACATGGCCAATAATATTCCTAACCAATAAACATTGAATATAATGGAAAAATCATCAATTGTATATGATATAAAATGAATACGATGATTATTATTATTTTGATAATTTTCCGCGTGATATTTTTCATTATTATCATCATCATCATCATCATCAAATTTTGTTTTTGATTGTTGCCAATATTGTAATTTAGCTAAATGGATTTCCTTATTACGCCAATGATTTATAAAACCACTTTCTTTTAGTATTAATAAACTATATTAGATTAGATGAATGAAAATAAAAAAATTAGAATTATGTCATAGATGATTTTATCACTTACACAATATCAAATTGTTTACGATATTCAAATTTTAAACGAATAGCCATTGAAAAATATGATGAAAAAAAGAATGTTTGTTCTTGTTCCGGTGGTAGATAATAACCAAAACGTAATTGTCCAAATAATAATCTTTCACGATCACCAATCAATGCTAATCTTTTTTGTTTATTGTTTGTTGTAATCAAATCCATTCCTTCTTTATAATTATTAATTGATTGTAATGAATTTCGAATCTTATTTAAATGATTATCTGTATGAGAAATTTGTTGTAAAAATTTCATACCGATACTATTTTTCAAAACTAATGGTATAATTTTACGTTGTTGACATTCATCAGCTAATTGATCAATACTATTAATTTCAATCATATCACGTATGGTAAGCATTGAACCAAGATTACCCGAATAATGATTAACAATTATTAAACTTATGATTGAAAATATAAATATCCATAATTTATCCGATGAATTTAGATTTCGTTTACGATATGGTCGTTGTATTAATAACATTAATGTAATGATAATTAAATTTGAATTACTTCGAATAAAATATTTGAAAATTTGATCAATAATCCATGTAGATAATAATAGAATAATTAAACAATACCAAATTTCCATCTGGAATGGTTGTAAAAATTTAAATAAATTTGTATCATATGTTGATTTGGTTGTTGCAAATGTATAATGTGTTATCCAATATGAATGTAAAAAATTGATCGAATCATATCGTTCTTGTGATAACATAACACCACCAATACCTATATCAATTTCATTACGTACAATTTTACCGATTAAACCTGTCCATGATGTTCCATTTTCATTTTTTATTCCATATTGTCCATAACAATTATTCAATTGAAATGTAATATTATAATATTCCATTAATATTCGTAATATCCATGAATCAATTCCATCAATATTTTTATAGCTATGATTGGTTTCATTCCAACCAGACATACGTAAAAATGGTACACCCTTTAAAAAAAAAAATGAAAAATAATACAATATTTTAGTTTTCTAATTCAAAATTATTACTTACAACATTGAATCCAACACGAAATTGTTGACCAGCAAGATTTAATTTTGTCATATTTTTTTTCACACTGATTGATTGCAAATGAAATGCAAACAAACACCAAATTTATATGCATGGAAAAAAAATAAAGTGTTTAAATAAATCGTTGTATATTCTGAATATACGGGGAAAGAAAAAAGAAAAAGAAAATTTTTCCCCCATAAAAATCAACCCGATGAGAACATTTTTATATTTCATTCTTTATATTTGAAAATGAATCGATTAATCATTAATACTTATTTTCTTATTTATTGTTTCCTTTTTTTTATCGATTAGTTGATCGTTGATCATTATTATATCACCGATAACAACAAAACTAAAAGGAAATTATTATAATAGTAATTAGGAAAACCAAAAATTGTTATTAATCTACAGCCAAGTACAAATATTTAATCATTTTTATTTCTTACCATTTTTTTTCAAATTCTCAAGAATGGATAGCGGAAAAACAACAACAAAGAAAAACAAAACAAAATGGAAACGTTCGAAAAATGTTTTTTTTTCAACCAAAAAAAAAACAATGTACGCCATCTATTGAATTTTGTTGACATTCAAATTTTTTCTATATTTTTTGATGATCAAAACTTGATTTCTGAAAAAATCTTAATTGGATTTTTTTCTTCTTGTCAACCTTGCCGATGATGATTGGTTGTTTTTTTAAATATTTATTCTTAATGGTCATCATTTTGATAAAATGATTAATGATGAAATTTTTCCTGATTATCATCATCATTGACGTCGACGATCATCATTGAAATGAATGTTTGAAAAAAATATATGTCAGAGGAAGGATGATGACAATTAATTGAATGTTGATAGTGAGCTAGGGAAAAAAACCAGTTAATCTGATCAGCAAAAAAAAAGAGGTAACCAACCGGCCATGATGATAATGATGACGATGGTGATCCTATATAAATATGAACATAAAATCATCAAGGTAAGTTTTATTTTATTTTTTTGGTCATAATTTTTTTTTATTTTCGAATGTTTTAAAAATTTTTCATTCAAAATCAAATCATCATGCTGAATCGTAATTATCTATTGATTGTACCATTATTGATTCTGGTCATAGCAGCTACCGTTGAACTTCGACCACCAAGAGATTATGGAAATCCAATGCCAGTAGAAAAAACTACAACACCAAAACCACAACGTAATCGTGATCGTGATCGTCACAACAATAACAACCGAGATCGCGATAGTGATCGTTACAACAACAATAAAAACCGTGATCGAGATAGTGATCGTTACAACAGCAGCGGAAATAATAACCGAGATCGCGATAGTGATCGCTATAACAATAATAATAACCGTGATCGTGATAGTGATCGTTACAACAACAGTGGAAATAATAATCGCGATCGTTACAGTAACAATAATAACCGCGATCGAGATAGTGATCGTTACAACAGCAGCAGTAATAATAACCGCAATCGAGATAGTGATCGTTATATACAGCCATATTCTAATGAAGATAATTCATATTCATCATCAACATCATCATCATCATCGTATGAAAATAATAACAATTCCTATGATAATCAACGAAATCGTAATGATCGTGATGAACGACGACGAGAACGTGAACAAAGACGTGAAGAACGTCGCCAAGAACGTCAAGAACGACGACGAAATAATTAAACGTCAACAAGATTGATAAAAGTGTAAACGATCCTTGGGAAAAAAAACCCAATGTATTTTACAAATTTTGTAAATTCAATTTAAAACAAACAAACAAAATAATATTTTTGTTATTAAATTGAAAACAAAAAAAATTTCGAATTTTTGATTTTTTGGAACCAAAATAAAATGCCATTTATTCATTGGAAAATTTACTTTTCTTTTATTTTCTAATTTACTTTTTTCCATTTTGTTTTGAATTCATTTTTTCGTCATTCTTCTTTCCAACCCAAAGAAAACATTTTCAAAAAACCAAAATTTTCCAAACATGTCTCGTTCGATTATTTATTGGTTATCATTTTTGTTATTATTATCATCATCATCATTGATTGATGCAAATCGTTTATCAACCCGAATGGATTTTTGTTGGGAAAAAATACGTGTAACAAAATTTTTTCGTTTTCATGATCAAATATTTTTCACAACAAATAGTGTACAATATTATGATAATTTTCGTTTATTTAATCTAACAAATGGACATTTATCACAAGAATTTGAAATACCTGATTTGGGTTCAAATAGCAACAACAACGACCAACAACAGCAATTACGAATAATATGGGCATTTACATTTGATCCATTGAATGATGATAATGATGATTATTGTCATAATCAGAATAATATTGGACCATCATCATCATCATCGACAACATCAACAAATCCATATCAATCATATTGTAATCGTTTAAGAAAATTATCCGATACAATTATAGCAAGATTATCCGATATGAATTTAATTTATTTATCATATCGTTCTGGTCATTTAATTGAAATAAATAATGATGATGAACCATTTTTAGAATTTGAATCATTTGTTAAACATTTAGATCAATTTGGTTCGATTAGTTCGATTACATTTGATAATCAAAATAATTATTATTATAGTATACATTTTGTACGTTTAAATCAAATATGTATGACAAGAATAAACAATAACAACGACAATAACAACAATGAACAAATTATAAAGAAAAATATGGCCATACCAATGTTAAAAAATTTATTCCGTAAAAATCCATATCAAACGGATTGTTTACAAACAAATCGTCCATATAGTTCATTAATTAATTTTAATAATATAATTTATGCAATTGTATTATGGTTTGATTCACCTGTTGGTTATATTGATCATTTACAATTATTAAATAAACATTCAAATCATTCGAATTTGTTTGAATTTAAACAAATCGAACAGGAAAGTGATAAAAAATTTTTCAATTGTTATCACAATTCTTCAATCATTCCAATGATGATGATGAATGGACAAAAATCATCAATCAATACTGATGTTATTAATGGTGATATTGATAAAGATGATGTCAATGTTGAACATGCGGAAAACAAACCATCAATACAATTAATACGAAATCATCGTCGTTCATCATCTTCATCAGCATCTGCATCATCGAAAACAAATCATTCAAAAATATCCGATAGAATGATTAATAATCAGAATAATAACAATAATCAATTAAATTCAACTGAACAAATCAATAATATTATCTTTTGGTTGATAATAACAATGTTAATATTGTTTGCTGTTAATTTTTGTATGATCAAACGTATGTATAATATTTGATGATTTGATTTTTAAAAATCTTTGATTGATTTTATTGAATTTTTTTTTGTTTTTCCCTTTCCCTTTAATTATCATTAAGAATCTGGTTTTGGTTTTCGTTGGCTAATAAGACATCAATCAACATCATGGGATCGAAATCGTCATCGTCGTCGAAATAATAGTAATCATTGTACTCGTGATGATGGTGATGTTACAGTAAAAAAGATAAAAAAAACTAAAACTATTAAAAAATCGATCAATAACAACAACAACAAATCAATCAAAAATAATAATAATAATTCAAATTCAAATCGAACGATAAATAAACATTTAAAACAACAAAATGATAATTTGATAATATCATCATCATCAACAATGACAAGAAAAAATGATGAAAAACAACAACAACGACAGCAGCAGATGATAAATAATCATCATTCGACAATATTGGCTAATAACGATAACTATAATGATAAAAATATTGATAAATTTTGTACAAAAAATCCATCCGAATTTAAAATTATAATGAACAAATCGATTGATTTTGCAAATAATGATCATGATCCTCATCATCATCATACGACGATGGCTATTGATGATCAAAGAAAATTGAACAATTTTAGTCAAAATAGAATTGTAGGATTTTTATCAACAAAAACATCATCATGGCGTAATAGAATTCATGATTATTTTAATGAAAAAATGAATAAATTTTTAATAATTTCTGGTGATGATGATCATAATCATAATCATAATGTTGATAATCAGATTCGAAAACCAAAACCGAATAATATAGAAAAATCATTAAACACATCATTTATATCATCATTATCATCATCGACCATAGAGGAAGGATTTACACCTGAAGATTGTAATGATAGTCTATCAGATTCAACAACATTATCACAAAAAACAAAAACAAAAAGTTGGACAAGTTTTTCATTAGAACAAACAACATCGAATGTAACTGATGATGATGAAACAGAATCAAACAATATGATGATGATGATGAGTGATTCGAATGATCAAAATGATCAACAAGCAAAACAGGATTCTTTAATTTTGATTCGAAAGAAACAAAAACAAAAACAAAAACCAAGTGACGATCATCATGTTGGCGGTGTTAAAACAGTTAAAATAACTGAAACATCGTTACCGTTTCTTAGTACTGCAAAAGATTATGATGATGATCATCATGAAACATTTCATCAAGCTAAATCATTATTATCATCATTATCATTTACATTATTATCATCAACATCAGTTGAAATGAATCGATCATTATTATCATCATTACATTATTCATTACCAATGAAAGATGATGAACGAGCGGATAAAATGGAACAAATTAAACGATTATTAAATGCAGAATTAGCATCAACACAAACACCAATAACAACATTGGGTGATTTTTCCGATGATAATTTGGATGGTGATTCGTTGGAACGAAAAAAACTGGATCATCCACAGCAGCAGCAGCAACAACAACAACAACAGCATCAACAAATTTCATCTACAATATGATTTTTAATTGGGATGTTTCTGTGTAAAAATTTAAAAATGCTAATTTTTTTTTTTTTTTGATTTGAAAAGGAATAAAATTCATTCATTTAACATTTTTTTTTATCCACCGGGAATTTTTCTCTTTTTTCTATCCTGATTTTCAGTTCAATGAGAGAGAGAGAGAAGTAAGTCATCATCATGTTGGGAAATCCGTATTTTTTTTTGTTTCCGTAAAAAAATATGATGTGAAATGTCATAGAAAAGTTTGTTTATGTTCTTGCTCCACTAAAATCTGGCTGTAATCTTTCAAGAAGATCGAATGTTTGTTTTTCGAATGAAAAAAAAAACATTCGATTTTACAAGCGGATCAAACCGGATTTTCATTTTGAATAGCAAGTGTGTTTTACCGCAGAATTAATTTGATTAAGTAGAATTTTTCGTTTATAGTTTGATCAAATCATCATCAATGATTATCCTTTTAATTCTTTTTTGTTTGTTTGTTTGTTTGTTGCTATTTTTAAAACAAAATTTTATCAATTTGGATGAATATTTTCTGAGTACAATCAAGATTTTTGCCTACGTGATTGAATCAATCAATCATTTGTTTTGTTTTTTGAAATTTTGGCCAGGCAATACCCCCTGCCACATTTTGTTGTTGATAAAATTATTCAATCATTTGATTTATCGACAAAAACATTGATAAACAGAAGAAAAGTGTTGTTGTCGTTTTTTTCTGTTTATTATGAAATATTTTGCAATTGATAATGATTGATCGAACGATTAGCAACAGCCAATCAACAAATCGAATCAATCAATCAATCGATATGGCAACAAATCAATCAATCAATCGATTGATTCATATCAATTATGTACGATGGCATCATAACTAATAATCAATTGAATAATAGATTTGTTTTTTTCTGATTACTGGCTGTCACCATTTCAGTGATTGATTGATTGATTGATTCGATTGATTTGATTTCAAAAAGAATTTTTATCTAAACAAAAAAAAAATGAAAAAATTGACAAATTTTGTTTTGTTTCGTTATTATCTTGAAGAAAAATAGCTCAAAAAATGTTAATTCGGGCCATAATATTGCTTTATATGGATATTATGTATGATCAAATGACTATATATGAATCGATAATGGGGGAAGTGATAGATAAGTGATTGGTTGATTGATTGATTGATGAATTCATTTCATCCAAAAAAACAAAAAACAAAATCAATAATACATTATGGTACTTTTCATTGTTGATTTCAATCAAATTCCTTTCAGATTTATCAAAAAAATTATTCAACCAAAATGATTTTATAATAATCAATTCGAACAAATCAATCAGGATGTGCGTCAATCATATTATCTCTATTGTTTTTTTTTCTATAATAAAAAGTTTGATTGATTGATTGATTATTGATTATTGATGATGGAAACGGATGATGATGATGATTCAATGTGCTGAAATATGAGAATAAGGAGAGAGAGAGAGAGAGATTTCAAAGAAAAAAAATCATCATTATCTTTGACCAATCATTATTTTTTTTTTCAATTTCAAATCGTACACATCATATTTTCGCGAAATGTGCAATTCAAATCAACAACAATCAAGATAATAAACAACAAAAAATCCAAAATGAACAAACAGATAACAAAAAAAAAAAAAAAAATTGGTCAAATGATGCCAACCAAATTTTTCGTCGTAATTTTTTTTTTTTTTT